AGTAGGTAGATAATATAACATGAATCATCCATCTAGTATAATTAGTTGTTTTTTATGGCTAATTAACTGCTAGTTGAATGTGGATGGCTCACTCACACTGAGGTCTGGATTCTTCTAGATTAATCCCTCCAGTTCTCAAAATCTTTGTTTGTGTTGGATCTTGCTATCCAGACTGGCACTGCTCTTGACTGTGTCCGCCAGTTCACCTGTTACACAGATAACCGTGATGTCATCGTCTGCAGATAGAAGAGGCCCTCTCTGATGTGAGTAGCTCCTCCAGTAACAGCAGCCACAAGCCCTGCGTGGTGCTCGTTTCCAAGCACATACAGACACACGCCACTGTTGATAATAATAGTAAATATTCCTCTAGGGAACACTTAATGCCAAGCACTGCTCTAAGAGCTTTATTTGTATAAATTCATTTAATCCTCAGAATTATTCTATGAGGAAAATAAAGTTATTATTTTTCACTTCAGTTGAGAAAGCTAAAGTCATCATGGGATTAAATAACTTGCTCCTGGCATCAGGAACAGTAAATAGTAGACTTGGAATTTGAACACAATCTCTGAAGCACTGTGATCCTATAGAGTGGGTAACGCAGATGTCATCAGACTTGATTTTATAGATGAGCAAACCAAGTCTCAAGGAGGTGAAAAGACTCACCCAGCCCAACTCAGTCAACAAGTAGAAGGGCTGGCATTTAAATTTTTCTTGGCACATTAAATCATGTCCTCATATTAATACAATTTTATATGTAGGATTCTTTTAATATGACAGAAAACTACTATATTATCCATTTATTGGAACTAACAACATTTCAATTATTTTTAAAAAATTATACTTTCCTTGTCTAGGATATAGATCTTTTTTAATGCAGGAAAGTCATCTGTAAGAAAGTTGCAGGTCTGAGGAGCAAATGCCCAATCTTACTTTAACTCATATCATTGGTGTGGTAAGGTACCATATGAGATTTGTTTGTATTCTGCTTATATTTCATCAGCATCTACAATGAGATGGTTGGGTCCTTTAGTCTTGCTTTTGTCCTCCATGGTTTAAATATCAGGGTACCAGGAGTCCACAGAAAGATACCCATTATTGCTGGAAAATCTTTACTTTTGGCCAGGCGCAGTGGCTCATGCCTGTAATCCCAGCACTTTGGGAGGCTGAGGTGGGCGGATCACAAAGTTAGGAGTTCGAGACCAGCCTGGCCAATATGGTGAAACCCTATCTCTACTACAAATACAAAAATTAGCCGGGCATGGTGGCGGGCGCCTGTAGTCCAGCTACTTGGGTGGCTGAGACAGGAGAATCGCTTGAACCCGGGAGACAGAGGTTGTAGTGAGCTGAGATTGTGCCACTGCATTCCATCCTGGGTGACCGAGCAAGACTCCATCTTAAAAAACAAAAAACCTTTCCCTTCCTCTGCTGGAGGGGATCCTGAAACCATGGTGCAGGAGAGAATAAGGTAGCATGTGGTTTAGGGGGTGGACATTGCAGGTGAAAGGCCCAGGTTTAAGTCCTGATCCTCTATGCCTTACTTATGTGGCATTGGGCATATTTAGCCACTCAGAGCCTATTTTCCCATCTGCAAAGTCGAAATAAAATTTCTGCCACATATTGCTGTTGCATAGATCGAATGAGAAAACATACATAAAATGCCTAGCAAAGTGGCTGTTACTGTGTAATGCATGCACAATAAACATGTTCAATAAACAATAGCAATTTGAATGGTTAAACTATGTCACCTGAAAGCACTATAATCTTTAGGAGTTAGGAAAAGCAATATGTTCAAAACAGAATTTCTAGCAGTCCATTCATTGAGGTCACCACAGTGAAGAGTAGCTTTTTGCAAATTGGCATTTCTTCATCAAATTCTTCCCCAAACTGAGTTTACTTTTATTCTGAAGAGCTCTGAAGAATCTAATGAGAATTACCAAGAAGCATAAAGTGAAAACTTTTGCACACAAAATTTCACGCCATAGAGACTGTATTGTAAAAAGGCAAAGTGTCACCCTCGTTCCAGCTCTACAGGTAATGTTGACAGGTGTATGGTGTGGATCCATGTCCCCACGCAAATCTCATGTTCAGTCATAACCCCCAGTGTTGGAGGTGGGGCCTAGCGAGAGGGCGATTGGATCATGGGGGCAGTTTCTCATGAATGGTTCAGCACCATCCCCTTGGTGGTGTTCTCATGACAGTGAGTGAGATATCATGAGATCTGGTTGTTTAAAAATTCGTGTAGCACCTCCCCCACCCACTTCCTCCCACTCTGGCCATGTGAAGCACCAGCTTCCCCTTCACCTTCTGCCATGTTTGTAAGTTTCCAGAGGCCTCCCCAGAAGCCACTCAGATATCACCATCATGCTTTCTGTACAGCCTGTGGAACCGTGAGCCAATTAAACTTCTTTTTTTATAAGTTACCCAGTCTCAGGTATTTCTTTTTATTTATTTATTTTTACATTTTATTTATCATACTTTAAGTTCTGGGGTACATGTGCAGAACATGCAGGTTTGTGACATAGGTATACATGTGCCATGGTGGTTTGCTGCATCCATCACCCCATCATTAACATTAGTTATTTCTCCTAATGTTATGCCTCCCCAATCTCCCAAACCCCTGCTATCCCTCCTAGCCCACCACCCCTGACAAGCCCCAGTGTATGATGTTCCTCTCCCTGTGTCAACACCCACTTATGAATGAGAACATGCGGTGTTTGGTTTTCTGTTCTTGTGTCAGTTTGAGAATGATGGTTTCCAGCTTCATCCATGTCCCTGCAAAGGATGTGAACTCATCCTTTTTTATGGCTGCATAGTATTTCAGTCCCAGGTATTTCTTTATAGTAATACAAGAACTGACTAATATGACAGGGCTTTGAAAAATCAGATTTTCAGTATTGCAATTGCAATCTGAAAGGAGGTGGTAAAATCAACCCAAAACCTTGACAGAAATTATGTTAACATAATTTTAATAATATTTTATTAAGAATTTAGACATGTCAAGTGGAATGAAAGTCTTAAGACTCAGGAGTAAACCCTGCTGGGAGGCAAATCCACTTACAAAAGTTTTGCAAGATCAGAACATCAAATCATACTAAGCAGATAAATATTTAAGTTGAATTTGTCTTTATAAAACACATGGGAGTTTAAATTTAAAACTTTTTAGAAAAAAAAAACAAAAAGCTGATTTTTGTTGTCCAAAGAAAAGTTATGAGGACTTATATATTTGTTATCCTTTGAACTATTCAATTACTATATCTTCTCTGTTCCAGGAAATGTAGTGCATGATCTGGATGTACAAAAGATTTATAGCTGTCAAAGAATGTCCTAGATAGACAGGCATGAACACCTTGCTAAGAATGCACAATGCATATATAAAATGCTGTGGGAGCTCTGGAAGCAGGAACCACTGTAGCTGAGAATGTCAGCTAAACCTTCACTAAGGAGACAGAATTTGAGATAGGTTCTTGTGGCAAGTACTGCTGGTCACCTACTCAATATCAGTTTCTTCTTTTTCCTCTAAACGTAGCATAGATTTTTGTTCCGGGCTGCAATGTGAACATTTATGTTAATAAAACACCAAAACAAAACAAGCAAAAAAAGCATACATCCCATCACAGCCTCACTTTAAGTCTAGGACTGATGCATAAACCCATCTTCATGAGAATCTTCCAGGAAAGCTCTTGACAAAGGACTGATGAGCTGGCCCAAGCCTTCGTTTGGTTCTTCATCCTTCATCTTTCCCTGTCTTCCTATCTGCAACTGTGGATAAGATGCTGGAGGTGAAGTAGCCAGCTGAAAATCACAGAACAACAAGCATGAAGATGAACACCACAGCTTATCAGTCCATGCTGTGCTGCTATGATAAAATACCTGAGAAGGTTCATTTATAAAGAACAGAAATGTATTGCTCACAGTTCTGGAGACTGGAAAATTCAAGATCAAGTGCTGGCAGGTTTGTTGTCTGGTGAAGGGCTGAGTCTCCTCTTCCAAATGGTACCTTTAAGGCAGGATAGGTAGTCAAGGAAATGACCATGTTCTCAGAACGTAGCAGCTGTGGTGACCGTACAGCCAACACAATAAGCCTTAGCATTCGAATTATAATTGTGCTCACTCAAGAAAAGCTATCTTCAATAGGGACTTTCCTCTCTAGATAGCATGCACACTTTGATTTTACCTGTCCTCAAACTGACCACTTGCTCATTATGATTGTAAAAGCCACACCCCTGGGTGGAGATTTAAGATGTTAATGAGAATGCGATGTGTGAACACAAGCAGCTACTGCCCACGTGCATCGAGAAGACTGCCCAGAACATGCTTACTAGTAACACCTCTTTCCACCTCCTTATGAATAACTATGTAAGGCTCCCATAAAGGGAGTCTCCTGAGTACCATCTTTGCTGTCTCACCCTTATAAGAAACCCACCCTGAAATCAATCTCTTCCCTCTCAGGGTATACTGTCTATTCTCTATTTTTTTTTTTTTTTTTTTTTTGAGACGGAGTTTCACTCTTGTTACCCAGGCTGGTGTGCAATGGCGCGATCTCTGCTCACCGCAACCTCCGCCTCCTGGGATCAGGCAATTCTCCTGCCTCAGCCTCCTGAGTAGCTGGGATTACAGGCACGCGACACCATGCCCAGCTGATTTTTTGTATTTTTAGTAGAGACGGGGTTTCACCATGTTGACCAGGATGGTCTCGATCTCTTGACCTCGTGATCCACCCATCTCGGCATCAAAAGATTATATTGCTCTGTGCCACACTTCCTTTGCTGTGTGTCTCTTGTTTAAATTCTTTTAAACCAGGAAGACAAGAACCAAGGTATCACATCAGCCACCAACACCTTGAATGCTGCATCCACCAGGGGAGAGGGAAACTGTTCTTCATGTGACAGAAGAACAGGAAAGCAAACCCTCTCTCATAGGCCACTTTTATAGTAAAGAGCTTTATTCCAACATTTTTCGATTCATAAGGCTTTAATTCACCCATGAGGGCAGACCTAACACCTCCCATCAAGCACCACCTCCCATCAAACACCACCTCCCTACGCTATTGCATTGGGGATTCAGCTCCCAACACATGAATTTGGAGGGAACAAAAACACTCAAACCACAACATTAAGGATGGCTGAGCAGAAAGACAAATGAGGTCAGATCCCTAACAGCACTGAGGAGCTAATGACCAGCCTGGGGCTTTCTTCTCCTAGGATTTTTGTTACATGAGGAGCATAAACCTGTTTACTTGTGTACGTTACTATTTTCTTGCAGCAAAAGATAATTCTATCTGCAATGGTCTTTAAGGAAGAAGATGACTTTAGTAAATGGGGCGGAGGAGCAAAGGGTTCTAGGTGAGGGGGAGGGTTTAAGCAAAGTCTTGGCAGCACAAATAAGGTGTGGCTGATGAGGTCAATCTGGCTGAATTGAAGCATCTTGGGGCACTCTTCGGAAAACCCCTTGGGTCCCTCTGAGGCACTGTGGCATTATTGTGTAATGATTTTTCCTTTTAAAAATGGAAATAGCAAAGTGAGATAACTGGCAATTAATCTTAAGCAAATTATTGTAAAGATTTATGGGTCCCTTTCTGGAAGACAGAAACAGGAAGAAAACATGTAGAGTTTCCATATTTCCCCCCAAAAGTCCTTCTTATCTAAAACTTATGGTTTCTGATTTTTCAATGTTTTTATTCAAGAAGAGGAAAAATAATACGTCTTTCAGTTTTTCCAACTGAGCATTGTTTGGATGGCTCAGTTGAGCATTCCCCAAACAAGGTAACATGTAGGTCTCCCTGGCTCCTGTTCTCAACTTCTGTTCTTTGGGATGGATTGTCTATTTCTGCTTTTTTGGGATGGCTGCTGAGACATGCTGGCAGAGACACTGTTACAGGATATGGACACTCCCTTCTCTGAGATGCCAAAGGAGCCAGTTCTGGGTTGTTGGATGGCTCAACACCCAATCATTCAGAGGATGGGACAGCATGGGTGATACCTAGATTATACCTGGGGCTGTATTTGTTGGGAAATAAGAAGATCATCATTTTTTCATGTGTCTATTTCTTTGTTTTCTAACATTTCTATTTTTCGTATGTGATAAATGTCATTGGAGACCAAAGAGGAAAGAATTCTGAATTAATTCAGGTGCTAAAATATTGTTCAAAAGAACATAGTACATATTTCTGCTGGCTATCCCAACTACCATTTCCAGCTCTATTCTCTCTTGCCACCTTTTACTTTAAAGTATAGAAAAGTTAAATATATATATGTATATATGCACACACACACATATATGTGTGTATGTGTGTGTGTGTGTGTGTGTTGTGTGTGTGTGTCTTTCCAGAGTCTTTTGAAGCTTGAGGTTGTAATTTGACATAATTCTAGCCAATAATATGTCTCTGTGGAAGTTTTCTGGAAGGTCTGATTAAGGTTTTGGGTTTTTTTTTTGTATGTTTGTTTCGAAAAAGCAGACATATATTGCTAGTGGATGTGATGCCTGGAGGTGTAGCAGCCATCTTGAGACTATGTGGTCATAAGCATGAAATTAAAGCCTAGAAAATATCAGAGACTTTGGCCTTGGCACATCAAGCCATTGAACCAAAAGCAAGAATTACCCAGCTCTAAACATCTTATAATATGTTAAAAATAAATCTAGACCCTCATTTTCTGTTGCTTGTGATTGAAGCCATTCTTAATGGGTACAGGTGGGTTGGTTCTGAACTGTTTGGGAAACCTCAGATTACAGACTAGAAGATTTGGATTTTTAAACCTTTCCACAATAACTATTTAAGACCCATAAGAACTTATACTAGAAACATTTCTGCCAAGTCATCTGCTTCTGGAAGGGCCAGCCCTAGACATCACATAATACACTCCTTGAAACAGCTCATGGAAACTGGACTCAAGAGGTATGTGTTGGGAGTGGGGCGAAGAATGGCGGGAGGAGTATAGCCTGGGCTGAGCCAACCAGATTTCTCTCTGTGTGTCTATAACTTGAAACAGGAGGCCAGAGTATGATGGCATCTGGTGATGACCATAGAAGCTGAGAGGTCAAGGTCTAGGGTCAGGGATACCCCACAAGCAATAGACCCAGGCATCGGTTGAGAGAGGAGAATGGAGCACTTGCACTGAGGGAGAACAGGAAGTGAGAGGCAGCCTCAGCTTCCAGGAGTTTCCAGTGTCCAGTTTCCATTTCCTGTAGCTCCTGCTGCATTTCTTGCCCTTGAGTACCTTGAACACCACCTGTGTAGCGAATTAAGAATGGATGCGAAGTGTTCACAGCTCCTGTTATGAGTGGAATGTCTGTGGCTCTGCCTCCCTGCCAACTTCATATGGTTGAAGACTTGGCCCCCAATGTCGCTGTATTTGAAGACGGGGCCTCTAACAATGTAATTAAGGTTACATGAGGTTATGAGGATGGGACCCTGATATGACAGGATTCGTGTCCTGACAAGAAGAGATCCCAGAGAGTCTGCTGTCTCTCTCACCACACATGCACACCCATGAACACACAGTGTAACAAGCACCCAGGTCAAGAAACAACATTGCAACCACTGTAAAAGCATTCCCTCATGCCCTTTCCAACCAGTAACTGCCCCCCAAGGAAAACCACACCCAGGTTTCTAACACCACAAAGTGGTTTTTTTGCCTCTTTTGAACTTTGTGTACCACAGAGTTTTATGTGTACCGCATGTTTTTGAATAGTATTTATTTCAGGACCTGAATTAATTGAATTATGGTCTCCAATGACATTTATTTAATATGTATAAACGGAACCATACTTCATAAATGTTTTTGTAATTGGCTTTTTCAGATCGATACTGTGTTTGCAAGATTCATTCCTGCTGTGCACTGTAATTTTCTCACTCTTATTGCTACCCAGTATTTTGTTATGTGAATATATCATAACTTGTTTCTTTATTGTACTCTTAATGAGCATTTGGGTACTTTCCAGTTTGGGGTTAATAAGAGTAATGATGCTACATTCTTGTACATGCCTCTTGGCGAACCTGTGTGTGCATTTCTCTTACGAATGTTAAGGAGTGGATTGCTGAGTCATAGGTTACGCATGTGCTCAGCATTAGTAATCGCTACTAACAAAAATTTCCACAGAGATTGTCCCAACAGATACTCTCCCAATGTATGAGACTTCTGGTCGCTCCACATCCTTGCCAACACTTGGTGTTGTTTGTTTTTTCCATTTTAGCCAGTCTGGTGGTGGTGAGAAGATACCGCACTGAAGTTTTAGATGTACTCTTTTTAAAGAAAAGATTGTGTGAGATGGCTCTTACTGTCAGTGGTACTACTACTACCTCATCTATATGGTACTGAAGAAACCAAGTTAATTTAAATTTCTTAAATAGCTCTCCACTACTTTGAGGTTGTGCTAAAACTCTATACACTTCATGTTACGATGACCACATAAATTGCCTTTTCTCTTGAAGAATGGATGGATATAAATAAGCAGATTGGCCATTTTGGCACATTATCAGCAGCTAAGCCAGGATGGTCAGGAGAAGCTTCTTGGAAGAGGCAATGTTTGAACCCCATCTTGAAGGTTGAATCAGGCAGTGTGTCGGGGAATGTAATTCTAGAGAGGACAGCACAAAGGAAGGACTAAATCTGGAAAAAAATGGGAGCAGCAGAAGCTCAGTGTGACTGAAGTGATTGCACCTGGTGGTTGTCATAACATATGAATAACAAATGTTTGTTTAATGAATGACAGTGAACAAATAAATGTATTAATATGGGATATTTGGCAATAGGAGCAAATGTAAAGACTTACAGGGATTTTTAATAATAATAATGATAATAAAATATTCAATGTCTCTTTTTGCTCAACTGGTTTAAGCAAAGAGTTGATTCTGGAAAGCAAAATACATTCTGTTCAATCCCAGTGTTAACATAATTTTAAGAGATGCTTCAGGCTTATGCAGAGTTCACTTCCTTTCATTGTAACACTTACTCAGTGGGACGTCAGGAAACTGATTAAAGCATTTGACTCACTCCTGGTCTCAATGAGAATATTTCTTGACCCCTGTCCTGGTGGGCACAGAGGTTTGATGTCCTTTTTGCTATCTTTAGGCTCAAAAGTGTTCAACACAAGTTTGATTGCTTGGTATTTCCCTCTAGATTTCCTCCATAGGGAAGCTCTTACAATCCAAGAATCATCTACAGAGCAATCAGTCACCAATGGGATATCTGATTCATCTTTAAATTTTAGAACACTGTGATTCTTATTGAACAATAGGGCATTAGTTGGCTCCATACCCAAGAATACTGATGGATGAATCTGTTGACCAGCCTTAAGAAGCAACATTCTGAAGTGGTTACCAACATACGCCACTGATAGCAGACTAAAGCAGGAAGAAGAAACCTTGAATCTGATGGGGGTACCCACTTGATTTCTCCAACTTTAATCAGGATGGGTTGAGACAAAAATCACCTGCTAGTGAAATTCATTTATTACAGTTGTTTTCAAACCACAATGGTCTTTAAACATTCTTTTCTTACTCTAAAATGTAAAAGAAAAGAGAATTCAACATATAACCTTGTGAAAGCTCGTTTGTTCTATGGGAGATAAATCACCCCCACCACTTCCATCTAATTACTATGAGCATCCCAAGAGGAGGGAGCAGGTCTTCTCCATTTCCACACTCCCAGTGCCAGGGCCAGAGCCTGGACCTAACAGATGTCCAGTCCCTGCTTGCTGAGCAAAATGGCATTTATCGCCCACGTGTTGGCTGGCTGACTGATTCTGTTTTTGCCAAGCAGCAACTTTGAAGTATGACTCAGTGCTTTTTTTACATTCCAAAGGAACTCATTGCTTAGCATTCCAAGTAGATTTTACTGAGGGGTTTTTAGGGAAAAGAGAGAAAAAAGTTTACAGCGCACGCAGCATTTCATTCCCCAAATATCCACCAAACACGTACGCTCTCTCTCTCTCTCTCTCTCTCTCTCTTTCCCTTTCTTAGCTTTTAGACACTGAATTCCCTATGTTCAAAAGAATAGCTTCCTTCATAGGAGTCTATGTTTTCTAAGAAGTAAAACAAATATCCATGAAAGACAATTTTTGGTGGTACTTGTAATGATTTTAGATAATTCCCAGAAACAACATAATGACAAGTCTTGGGTTAAGAAAATTATTTTGTTTAGGTTTTTTTCTCCTTTTATTACTTCTCCCTTTTTTCCCCTATGCCCGTCATTTTTCTTTTCTCTTCTTTTTTCTTTTCTTCCTTCCTTTTCTTCTTCCTTTCCTCTCTCCCTTCCTCTCTCTCACTTCCTCTCTCTCTCTCTTTCTTTCTCTCTCTTTCTAGAGGAAACAGTACTCAGTCTCAGAGCCTAGATGAGGCAGCAGTTTCTAACTAAACTTAAAGAACTTAAATTTCTTAATGTATTTAATTTTATAATTATTTTATTATATATAAAACTATACTAGCTTTTATTTTAACATAAAAGTAAAATAAACCCTCTTATTAAAATAAATTTAAGGCTGGGTATGGTGGCTCATTCCTGTAATCCCAACACTTTGGGAGGCCAAAGCAAGTGGATTACTTGAGCCCAGAAGTTCAAGACCAGCTTTGGAAACGTAGTGAGACCCCCACCTCTACTAAAAATAGAAAAATCAGTGAGGTGTGGTGCTGCTCGCCTGTAGTCCAGCTACGTGGGAGGCTGAGGTGGGAGGATCACTTGAGCCTGGGAGGTCAAGCCTGCAGTGAGCTGAGATCATGCCATTGCACTCCAGCATGGGCAAGAAAGTGAGACTCTGTGTCAATAAATAAATACAATAAAATAAATTCAAAATTAAGTCAATTAAAAAAAATAGTAACTGCTAATGGATAACCTTAGAAAAGGAGAAAATGGTAACATTAGGGGTTTGGAAAAATGACATAAGATCAAGTTGGATTTCTTGCTATTGTTGCTGAAACAAAGTCTGGTATTATGTGACGATTAACGTTACATGTCAACTTGACCAGGCCACATTTTATCTAGATATTTGTTCAAACATTACTGCAGATGTTTCCGTGAAGGTATTTTGTTAGATGAAATTAACATTTAAATCAGGGTGAAGGGAAAATTTTCTCTAACTGTGCTTTTCTCTACTCTTAATCCATAATCATTAGCGTAGAAGAAGACTTCTGTGATCAAATGTGGGGGGTTTTCCCCATGCACTAAGCAGTGAACACCAGCTGGGTGTCCTCCAATTCAATTCTGACACTGTCTACCCACCACCTATGTACCTGGAGACAGTGTCAGATCCCATAGGTTGGGGGCTCAGTCCTCAAGGCTGCTCCCCATACCCCCAGACTCCAGGTGTAGGTCCAGACCTCCAGAACTTCAAGTTAGGGTTCCCATGACCTCCTCTTTGAGTTGGATTACTTTGCTGGAGCAGCTCACAGAATTCAGGGAAACACAATTATGGATGTATTATAAAGGATAATGCAAAGGATACTAAAAGATGAACAGGGTGATGTATGGGGGGAAGGGGCATGGAGCTTAGGGGAATGGGAATGGGGCTTCCATGCCCTTCCTGAATACGCCAACCTCCAGGAACCTCCATGGGGTCAGCTATTTAGAAGCTCACTGAACCTAGTCCTCCCCGGTTTTTACAGAAGCTTCATGACATCAGCATTCCTTTCCCCAGGGTATAGGGTGGGCCGCTCTTGTGGGAGACCTTAAGACCCACAGTCAGAAAGTAAGAGAACAATAGAGTGAAAGGAGGGCAGGAGATCAGAGGCCTGCCAAGAAGCCTAACCCACCCAACATTAAAGCAAAAGACCGTACAGGGGCTATGAGGGTTATGAGCCAGAACTGTGGATGAAAACGAATATATGTCATAACACCACAGTCAGATTTTCAATAAAGCTGATTACCCACCACAATATGGCAGGCCTCAACCAATCAGTTGAAGGTCATAAAGAAAAGACTGGGGTCCCCTGAGGGAGAGGAAATTCTGCCAGCAGACAGCCTTTGGACTGGAACCTCAACGCTTCTCTGGGATTGCAGCATGCCAGTCTACCCTGAAAAGTCTGGACCTGCCAAACCTCTACAGTCATGTGAGCCAATTTCTTAAAATCAATCTCTCTTTCTCCCTCTCTCCTTACATCCTGTTAGTTCTATTTCCTTGGAGTACCATGACTAACTGATAGTGTTACCTGCATTTTAAAGATGAGGCTCATAAGTTAAGAGATATCCCCTAAACCACTCTATGAGTAAGTGGCAGAGCAAAGATTCAACCGTGGTTCCAAGTCCACCCATTGTACCATATGACCTTTACAATTACAGGTACTGTTACCATTTTCACACTTCAGTGGTGCCCAAAAAAAGGGGGATCCATAATGACAGCAGGTCAGACAAAAACAGGTAAATAGGATATGAAACTATCTGGCCCAAGAAAGACTCCACTTAGGTGTCACTTTCTTCAGAAGTCCCTGAGAGCATGCATGTGCACACAGACACAAGCACATTCATACCCCAGGCACGCTTTCACGAAGCTCAGGTACAGGGTTGCTCACTCATTTTTACTCTCAAATGCCTGTTCTCTGACAATACCACTGCAATGACCAGTCAGTCAGCCGGTGGAGTTTAGTGCCACCCTGGCAGAGCCTTAATAGCGTTCCAGAGCAAAGAAGACAAAGTCAAGGTGTTTAAATGCTCATGGGGCTTCAGGATTTGTTTTAAGGTGGGTCTTTCAAAACAGAGGCTTGATTAGGATTGGGTAAGGGTCATTATACAATCCCTCAGGACTGGAAGACACAACAAGTTAAGGACTCTGATATTATTTGGCTCTGTGTCCCCACGCAAATCTGGTTTGGAATTTTAATTCCCAGGTGTTGAGGGAGGGACCTGATGGGAGGTGATTGGATCACGGGGGTGATTTTCTCCTTGCTGTCCCTGATAGTGAGTGAGTACTCACAAGATGTGATGCTTTAAAAGTGTTTAACAGTTCTCTCCTTTGCATTCTGTCTCCTGCCTCCTTGCGAAGAAGGTGCCTGCCTCCCCTTTGCCTCCCCCAATGATTGGAAGTTTCCTGAGGGCTTCCCTAGCCATGTGGAACTGTGAGTCAATTAAACTTCTTTCTTTGACAAATAACCCAGTCTCAGGGGTTCTTTATAGCAGTGTATTAATATGGACTCCCAGGAGAAGGTTTACAAGAGTCCTGGCGTATATGAACAGTAATTTGATACAGTCCATTGAAATATTGAACAATGTCATGCTCATTTAAATCAGTTTCCCAGGAAGTTCCTAATATAAAGTCTTTTTCTCTTGCTGGGCAAGGGTTTCCTAGAATATTAAAGTCATATTAATGAGACAGTGACTGCAGATTTTACTACTCGGCAACCTTAAAGCGTGACTCAACAATAATTTACATTCATAAAAATCTGTGTATTGGCTGGGCATGGTGCCCTATGCCTGTAATCTCAGCACTTTGGGAGGCTGAAGCTGGTGGATCACTTAAGACCAACAGTTAGAGACCAGCCTGGCAAACATGGCGAAATCCCATCCCTACAAAAAATTAGCCAGGCATGGTGGCGTGCACCTGTCGTCCCAGCTACTTAGGAGGCTGAGGCAGAGGCAGAAAATCGCTTGAACCCGGGGAGGCAGAGGTTGCAGTGGGCCAAGATCATGTCACTGCACTCCAGCCTGGGTGACAGGGAAAGACTCTGTCTCAAAACAACAACAACAACAACAACAAAAACTCAGTGTATTGTCATGCAACGTTGATTTTACTGAAAATTTTTATAAAGAGAAAATAAAGAAAAAGGTTTATCTTGCAAAGTAAAAGCATATTGATGAAGACTGTGGAATACCAAAGTCATGTTAAGGTAGACAGAGAAATGAGTTAGAGGTATTAAAAATTAGAAATGAGAACAGAGAGGGAAGCAAGGGTCAGATTTTACAGGGACCTCCTCCAGCCAGAGGAGGTTGATTTTTTTTTTTTTTTTTTTTTTTTGCCACACGTGACAAGAAGACTTTGGAGGGTTCTGGGAAGGGGTGTAATAGGT